TTAGTTTCACCTTTTAAGTTGCATTACTGAAATAAATGAATTTTTGCACGATATTCTAATTTTTCGAGTTTCACCTTAAGCCTCCTCCATTTGAATTTGGGTAGCACTAGAAAGGGACAAAAATCTTCATAGTATCAGTGAATTTGGTAGTCTAGTTCTAATATAAGCAAATGTTGGGGAAAGAAGAAAATCAAAACTAGAATTGTGGAATGTTGTTGATGGATTTTGCTTTCCAAAGATTATTTAATGAATTCAGTAATAAAATGATGTCCTTTGACAGCTCTCTTATTCATTGTTCAAACATAAATTGTTTCCGTGAAAGGAAATTACAGGTTCAACTAAGATCATCTTGAGAAGAGCTCAACAGAAAATCCCAAGAAAATTATTGTTGCAAACTCTATCTTTCTCTCTCTCAAAAAAAAAAAAACTTGTATTTGATTGGAAATTTTTATAGGTGAACTTCTGGTGGTTACGTAATTAAATATTTCATATCTTATAACAAATCTATCAGTTCTAATAACAAAGAATACATTATTTGTTTACACAAAAATCAATAATAAGAATATGTCATGAGATTTATTATCTGTGTTATTTAGTCAATTTCTGTATCACTTTCCTGTGTGTTTTACTGAGATTTTTTTTAAAATCCCTAAAAATAATGCAGAACAAAGAAAATTCTGAAAAAGGGCAGTGCAGCTAATAACACTACATGTTGATTGTTTTAAAGACAGTGAATTGTGGGGACCAAAAAGCTAAGAGGGAGGTGGGTGAATGAAAAAAAACCTATAGTATCATGTTTTGTGGCATTTTCCACTTTTATTTTATTTATAGTCTGATTATCAGTGGTTTTTTTTTAAGAAAAAGTCTGTCTATGGCTTTTCCCACTGATTTCTATTTCTATATTAATTTCAGAATCATTACATTGCTGATACTGAAAAGAAAGTTGTCCTATGTAGTTCAATACTAAATAATCCAAATTTCAGTTTAATGGGAAAGTGGTACCTTGAAAACTGTGAGAACAAAAATGGGTTTGTCTGCCAGAAAGCTCAAGGTAAATTGTTATAACATTTATATAACATTGTACATGTTACATTAACATAATGTATTATACGTTAATCTTTATAATCTAATCTCTTTCGCACATTGTATGAAGTCTACTACCTAAATGATCCATCCAGCAATTATACTTGAGCTAAAAAAGTTGCCAAGGTTTCTCAACCTTGGCAACTTTATGATGGGTGGACTTCAACTACTAGAATAACCCAACCATCCAGGTTGATGAGGAATTCTGGGAGTTGAAGTCCACCCATCTTAAAGTTTCCAAGGTTAAGAGACACTGATCTAAAGCTGCACAGAGTTGCAAATCACAAAAGAACTACTTTAAGAAAGTGAATGCTTCTATTTCAGTTTTGGATGCTTTGTATAGGTGAATGTGCAGAGAGATTCCCCTTATAGATAGGATGAAAAATTGGAAAAATTATCCTGTACAAAATGAATGACTGTGGTGGTAGGGAAGAAATGATTCTGCCTAATGACAAAATATGAAAATGAGACCAGAGGGTATAGAAAAACTAAAAGAGTCAAGACATCTTTCTGCAAATTAGAATGTTTACCAAAATCGTGTATAGGCAGTTGTGTAAAGATTAAAGATAAGGGAACAGTGAATATAGCAACTGCATAAATTTGAGTGCCCTTCTATGTGATTTGGTGGTATTCCTGCTATATAGGCAGGATAACTTTCAATGTTCAGGTAATCATCAGGTTATAATAGCAATAAGACTAGAATTTCCATTGCTAAATGATGTGTTCTTATAGCATGATGCCCCATTGCATCACAGCAATCTCAGCTGTCTCAATTGGCATTGTAACCCAGAAATTTTACAGGTCATTAAGAGAGGATCTCATGTGACCAAACTCCTAGGCAAGCAGGCCAACAGGTGAGAACTGCAGGTGAGTGTGTGACTGCCACACACAGGCACTACTGAACCAGGCAGGCTGAGAGGAGTCACAGCCAGGTGCAATTGAGCATGGGCAGGATTGCAGGGGCCAGAAGGCAGGCAGTACAGGGCACAGGTAACAAAAGGGCACTCTTCCACAAACTTCTTTTGTTGTAAGGATTATTCAGCACGTCTGGAGAATACTACTCTGGGAAAGATTGATGAGCAATAATATTCATCTACCTCTTGACTTAATTTTTTATATACTCTCTTGTCACAGGGTTCTTTTTTCAATAGCCAGTTCAGTGGGCTCCACAAACTCTAGCTGTCCCACTCCTTGCTATTATTTTAGCAATAACAATAGCACTTAGACTTGTATACTGCTTCACAGTGCTTTACAGCCCTCTTTAAGCATTTACAGAGCATATTACCTCCAACCATCTGGGTTTTCATTTTACCAACCTTGGAAGGATGGAAGGCTAAGTCAACCTGGAGCTGATAAGACTCAATCTGCCAAACTGCTGGCAGTCGGCAAAATTAGCTTGCAATACTGCATTCTAACCACTGTGCCACCACTGCTCTTAGCCATCCAGGTACCAGAAACTGGCAGATATTTGTGTAGTAGTCCCAGTTTGATTCCATACCCTTTCTAGGTCTACTGGGAAGATCTACTACTAATCCAAGAATCTGTTTTACTATCAGGAGTGAGCTTCTCCAATTCTTATTTTCTCTTAGGTTGCTTCCAGTTTCCTATTTGGATTAGAGAATCCAGAACCCTTCTCACTCATGGAGTCCTTCTGCACTCACTGCTTCTCCAAAACTAGCACACCAATGACCGTAACCAACACACACACAAAGCTGCTTTGCTGCAGGGCTTTTATAGCTGTTCTTTGCTAAGCAGCTTGTCTGGCCTGGGAGAGGTCTTAAAGGAGAGGCACCATCAGACCAGGTGCTAGCTAATCTCAGGCCACCTGTTCTCTCCCAACTCTTAATAGCGTGCAATGTTTGTCACTTATATTTCTTTCAGAGATGGCTATAGCTTGTTTGAAAATGTTCAATGTCTTAATGTTGAGCTTTTAATTTTTTTTTTCAAATGACTCTTGATCTTCTCTATCACAGATACTTCTAGACATAACATTGATCCTTCAGTGATGTACTCAATCCCGAATACTTTAGAATATGCAAATAGGACCTATACATTGATCAATGGCAGTATGACTTGGTACATGGCTTCACAAATGTGCAAAAAAATTGGGGCTGAATTGGTCAGCATTACAGACTACTACCACCAAGCTTTCCTTACCGTAATGATAAATCGAGTGGGTTACGCTCACTGGATTGGATTGTTCACTTCAGATGTAGGTATTTCAAATGTTTGTCCAATTGATGTAGTTTATTAAGTGCATTCAAATTTTATTTATCAGGAAAGTAACTAAAGGTCTATGTCCAATGAGTATATGTAAAAATACTTTGGAGTTTAACTCTTGGGGAATTTAAAACTCAATGAAGATAATATTTAAGGCAAAGGTTAGTGTAAGGTAAAGATACTACCTAACAATGTTCCTAACAACAACAGTGATACAGTTAAAAGGAATAGTAAATTGTAATCCTAGAGTTTTCATGTTTTATTCCAGGATAGAATTCTGCTATAAAATTAGTAATGATGAAGTCAGGATGGATGTTTTATCTGCCTTCCCTTGTGGAGGACAAGGGTAGGTTAAGGTTAGTGGTTCTTTTCCCCTATTCCAATTACATTGATTACCAGGAGATACCACTTGACTGGTTGGAATTTTATCAGACATGGATAGTGGTGTACATCATGGATCCCCAACCTCTGGTCCGTGGACCAGTACCAGACGTTCCTGAAACCAGACTGCAGAAGCAAGCAAAGCTGCATCCATGGGATGCGCATGCATGCGTGGAGAGCATGGGAGCCTGGGGGGTTGCATGTGCATGCATGGGGGCGGGGCAGGCAGGGAGGTCATGTATGCATTGTATTATGGGTGCGTGCACACTTTCGGTACGCAGCAACGGTATATACCATTTTGAGAGCTCTTTCATGTAGGATGTCTCCAACACTCAGGATGTCATCATTTTAGGATGACAAAAGGTTCCACATGCAGAAGAAAGAATTTCCTTTCCGTTCAGCCAGTGGAAATATTGTATTGGGTTAAAAGAGTTGTAGACAGATGACTTTTGCCCCAGAGGGAGCTGATTTCTTGATTCATTAATATGCTTTAACATCATGAAAACCGAACCTTAACAATAACTTGATCACAGCTTCACGTTCGTCAATGTCTTTGTTTGACACTATAAATTTCGTTTTTAAACTGGGAAAGGCCTCATTTCACTGGTAATGCTGTATTTTGTAGGCAAGAAATAGAATACTGTTTGAAATCTCAGTATTGGCAAGAGAAAGTAGGTTCAGTGATCTGACATAGGATAAAGCAGTTTCCTTTTTTTTAAAGAATGATCAATGGTTTTTTGTGAATATTAAATAGGGAAAATAACTTTTCTAATCATTTACATCCCTTTCTTGGAAACAAGAGTGAATCAAGTATATTAATCCCAAGTAAATAGTAAAAAAAGTAGGGACACGGTGGTTCAGTGGCTAAGACGCTGAGCTTGTTGATCGAAAGGTGAGCTCCCGTTACATGTCCCAGCTTCTGCCAACCTTGCAGTTCAAAAGCATGTAAAAAATGCAAGTAGAAAAATAGGAACCACCTTTGGTGGGAAGATAACAGCATTCTGTGCATCCTCAGCTTTTAGTCATGCTGGCCACATGGTCACGGAGACGTCTTCAGACAGCACTGGCTCTTCAGCTTTGAAACAGAAATGAACATTGCCCCCTAGAGTCGTGAACGACTAGCACATACTGTATATGCGAGGGTAACCTTTACATTTACCTTTTTTAAGTAATAAAAAGACAATTAACAAAAAGCCAAGCATCTCTTGGTAGAGATGCTTGGCTTTTTAAAAAAAGTGTTCATGTGAAACCTCCCTTAAAAACTGCTTTATGGGGTAATAGGCCTTCATTCCCTGCTTCAAAAAAGCAAAGCAGTCACAGTGCTTCATCTCATGTTGCTCTTGAGCTTTTTATCTGGTTGCTCTATTAACTTGAAGAGGTTTTTGAAAAAATGCTCTGAAGCCTCCTCCGGATAACTGGAACTACCGGACAAGACCAGATCGCTTCACTCAAGAATCTTAAACCACTCCTCACTTCAAGCAGAATTGCTTCATTTCTGTAGCATGAAGTACCTTATCCAATTGCAGTTGCTACATAAAATCCTCTTGAGTTAATGACCTGCAGAGACTAATCCAATACTTCTTTTGGCAGAATGGCCTTCCCTTTGAGTGGTCAGATGGCACCAGGCCTTTTTTTACATTTTGGGAAAAAGAGGAAACACATAGTCCAGGACAGTGTGTTTACATTGATATTAATGGACATTGGAAAAATACTGACTGTGAAGAGCTTTTGAACGGTGCAATTTGCCACATTCCACCAAGTAAGTTGGCTCTTATGTTAAACATTGAAACACTTTTGGTAAGTATAACCCATTTTGGCTTGTTTGAAAGTAGCAACTGAATCGGGGATATTAAAACTTATGTAATGCTTGAAAATTTGGAGGGAGTGGGATTCATTAGAACACAATAGCAGAATTGCCCAATTTTCTGCCCAAGCCAAGGCACAAAATATACAAAATCATGACTGACATTAAAAACATGAGGTTGGACAAATTAATTTTTAAAAAATGCAAACTTAATGGACAAATGCAATGTTTGTGATAATGCTGAAAAAAATACTCCCACTTGTTCCTCTTGTCATAGAGAAGAAATCAATGCAAAACAAGGAATTGTGTGATGAAAAAAATGTGCATTGGATAAGGTTTAACAGCAGTTGCTACAGCTTTTCTACTGTTTTTGAGAATCTGAACTTTTATGAAGCATTGGAGTTTTGCAAAAGGCAAGGTGAGAAGCTTTTACATTCAGGGCCTAACGCTGTCGGATTGCCTATTCAGCACCGTTGGTTTGTTTCTTCTGTTATTTTTAATTTACTACTGTTGTATGTCATTAAGCCATTTAGAATGGAGTAGCATAGAAATATCAAATAAATATATATTGATAATTATATCCCCCAAAGCTACTAAGTTATCGCATAAGAAAGTCAGTGGGAATAAAGTGCCTTTAAAAAGCTCAAGAAAAAGTTGGCTAGGTGTCCAAAGGGAAGTAAGTGATAAAAGCATATCTGTCTGTACAGCACACAGGATGGTTTATCCACAGAATGCCATATGTACAGAGTTCTATACCAGTGGTGCAACTAATGAGAAGACCATTTTCCTTTTAATTACTCACCCCATGTCAATGTTGGAAGTTCCCCACTGAAAATCTTAATATACAGATAGGGGTAGTTGTTTTTTCATGTAAAATGTGCTTCTAAACCATGAGCAAATCCAATGTATTAAATTGCCCTTGGAAAAAAATTGGGAAATTCATTGAATTTGAAGTGAAATAGTTATGATTATAATTTCCCTGTCTAGCAACAACCTGTTAATAACAATACTTAAAAACAGCATAAAATAATGCATCAGAAGTTTCAATCTGATACTAACGCTAAACTTTTAAATCCTTCTCTGGGCTGGAATTCTTGCTTTCAGCTGTGCTGGGTGATGAAGTCTGGAAAATTCCCTAAGTAGAAAAGTCTTTCTTTCTCTGAAAAGAGAAGTGTTGACTCATGAGCTCATCTTTTATTTTTATTTAATTTTTACTGAGCAATTGCAACGAACTCTTTTTAGTCCATTTTAGTCCAGACAGAGGAATTTTATATAGTTTCTTTTGGCATATCAAGACCCTAAAATAACTCTTACCATTGCTAAATTTGTAATGGTAGCCAGTGGAATTCATGCATTACTAATAGCCAAGCTGACTAAGCATAATCATGAGCCTTTTTATTACATACTCCAGTGAGGTAATTTTCCCATGAATCTCCACTGCTGTTGGGGAACATCTAGGAAGGCCTTGGTGAAAAGCTTGTGAAAGCAAGTACTTATTAGATCCAGTCTGGGAAGTTAGTTTAAGATCAGTAAGGGTTTTGAACACAGGCCTGGGAGATAGCTACAATCATTAAGGTAGAAAAAAGGCAGGGTGGGTTCTTTGTGCGTTCCAGTTTTGGCACTTTGAAGTCTTCTTGGAAATGCCTGGCAGAGAAACCATCTAGTAGGACTTTGCAATTAATGGGTCCCAGGAGGTGGGCCTCTTCTGCTGTGGTGTCTCCCTTATGGAGTATCCCACATACAACATGAAGTAAGGTTAGGTCCATTCCCTGCTATCGTTTCAGAAGTTCCTTAAAATCTGATTATGACACCAGGCCTGGGGGAATCCCAGGGAATCTGGATGCATTCTTAGATGGCTCCACTGTGGTTGATTTTTCTCTCTGTGTGTGTGTGATTTGTATATTTTGAACATTTTATAATAGCTTACTTTTAATTTTTGTTTATTACAGTTTTATTCCACCTTTATTATTTTATAAGAAATGAAAAGCAGCAAACATACTTAATATTCCTTCTTCCTTCTTGTTTGCCCACAACAACTTTGTGAGGTTGGTTGGGCTGAAAAAGAGAAGGAAGTCAGCCAAACGGCTCTCTTGCCTAAGTCAGAAGAAAACTCACAGTCTGCTGAAATACTACACAGCACCTGAAATACTACCCCCAACTGACTTTCAATAACCTTAAAAAGGATTTTTATATTTTTATAATGTGTGTTTTTATGTATCTGGCTTTATTAATTCTTATATGCCACCTAGAGTCGCTTTTAATGAGATGGGCGGCTATATAAATGTGATTAATACAGAAATAAATAAAAAGTCTTCTTAGTAGTGGTGCCCTGGTTATGGATCAGCCTTTTTTAGGCACAATTGCCTACCTATATTTTGCTTTTTGTATTCCATGCTGAGAGGAAAAAGTGATCCCCCCCCCGACTTTTTTTTTTTTAATGGTTCTTGTACTAATGTTCTTCTGTGCTTCTGGGTTTGCTTTGGTTTTATTCTGTGGCTGTTTTAATTAGTTACAGGCTTTACAATGTATTTGTTTCATTTGGCTGTTTTATAATCTTAATTCAGAAATCTTGCAGCAAATTGATTAAATACATAATACGGGAATTCTGCTCTTTAAAGCAAATTCTAAATAAACCCAAAGGTAAAATCTTGTATGAGCATATATTTTTTATTCTAAGTATATTTGCTTAATAATAAATCTACCATTTGTTCATTTTCAGGTTCTAATCTTCTAACAATCAAAGGCAGAGATGAAAATATTTTTCTTTTAGAAGAACTACATTCTTTTGGCTCTCTGGTTGAAATGATTTGGTTGAATACTCACTTCCTCATGGATAGTAAGTGAAAAGAAGCCAGGAAAGAATTAAATCACATCCAACTATTGGAGATTTTGTCCCAGAGCATATACATATAATTTCTTTGGTAGTTAAAATTAGCTGAGCCACCAATTAACACAACATGCAAATGATAACTGTTTTACTTTATATTCTGGTTATAGGACCCCTTAGTTCCTACTGCATTTTCAATTTGTAGTGAGCTAGGTATTTTGTTTGCTCATCAACCTTCCATGCTTCTGAGGTCAGTAAAATGAGGATCCAGATTGTTGGGAGTAATATGCTGACTCTGTAAACCCCTTAGAGAGGGCTGTAAAGCACTGTGAAGTGGTATATAAGTCTAAGTGCTATCACTGTCACCACTTTCTTATTCTGTGAAAAGGAAGCCAGTTGTATTTAGCCATCTCTACTCTTTTTTTCTCTCTTGAACTTTGACATGCCTTCACTTCCAATGAAATTTGGAAGCATGCGTGCAATAAACTAGTCTCCACACTTAAGGTCTCCACCTTGGGAACTCAAGGTGATGTGCAGAATGTTCCCTCCTCTTAATTCCCCCATTATATTGTTACAACTCTGCTAAGTATCTTGGGCTAAGAGAGAGAGAGAGAGAGAACTATCATTCTCTTAGCTTACTAGCACTTGGATCTTCCTACTTTTAGCCCTGTGCTTTAACCATTATCCCACACTGGCTGTCTTATCATCTTTGTTAGAACCAACATTCTTTGTCTATATATCCCATGTTTAAACATACAGTGAAATTATTTTTCAAAGTCATCTGGTTCACAAAGGAGCTGTGAGGTGTTTTTTAAAGTTGTTTAATATATGACAGGAAGATGCATACTTAGAAATCCATTTAGATATTTGCAGACTGTTTCATTCTGCATAAAGGTTTAAGGGATAACACAGAGAAGTATTTTGAAGGAATAGAGAGGAATAGCAATGACTCTGAAGTAAAAATTAATTTGAACTTAAAATGAGTGCATTCATTTTTCATTGTTTACTTTGCAGTCTACTTCCTCCAAAACACTCTGAAAACTATAATTTTGAGGTCGTAAAAAGAGAATATAGATGGACAGCTCCCAAGTAAATTGCATTTTCATAAACATTTAATGACTACTGTGAGATAAAACTGTACGACGAGAAATAGCTTGCAGTTATGATGCACGATCTTCCTTGAAGATAACTAGAACTAGAAGAACACTCCCCTAATTTCCAAAGCCGCAGGACCATTTCATTTTTGAATAAAATACAATGCAAATGTAGTACTCTGTTCACGGTGCCCTCAAATCCATATATGGATGTAAGCAGGGGTGAAATTCAGCAGGTTCTGACAGGTTCTGGAGAACCGGTAACGGAAATTTTGAGTAGTTTGGAGAACCGGCAAATACCACTTCTGGCTGGCCCCAGAGTGGGGAGGGACTGGAGATTTTGCAATATCCTTCCCCTGCCATGGCCACCAAGCCATGCCCACAGAACTGGTAGTAAAAAAAAAATTGAATTTCACCACTGGGTGTAACTTTGATATTAGAAAATACCAGGGGTGGACAGATATAATAAATGGAATTGTGAGGTCCTGTGCATGGATTCTGGAAGTCTTCTGACTTTAATGATGTCACTAATGTTGCCCTTAGATGCTACGCTAATATGGTTTGATGGCTCTCCAGTTCAGTATTCAAACTGGGGCACTGAGGAGACTGAGGTGGGTCAATGGACAGGAAATAGCTGCATTGTCTTGACAACTGCAGATGGCATCTGGAAGTTAATACCGTGTCATGAGAAAAAAGGATTTGTATGTAAAGCCAACACAGGTATGAACCTATGTTTTTTTATAAAGAATTTTTTTTTATTTTTAAATAAACACAAACAGGCAAAACACACACAAAAAAACCCACAAAACCATCTTCCATTACAAATTGTAGAAAGTGTGTTGATTGGTTACAAAAACTTCCGTGCATCCCTTCCACAGTCATCACCTACAATTCATATCAAATCATATATTTTAAGTAAGTTGACTAGACGTCCTGCTTTTGGCGGGACAAT